TGAAGGGTTAGCAGCAGGAGAAAGTTAAAATTGCTGTGGTAAGACTGCCTTAAAGCAGGAGAGAAAAGGCTGCTCTTTGACATCGTATGGAAGGAATCTTCTGTTTTCAGACATAGTCTGACTGTGAGAGTCTGGAGGAGTTGGAGCTGATCTGCCATGTGTATGTCTGGTGGCCTGGGTAATCTCTAACCATAGTCCTCAAGAAGTCAGAAAGTAGTCTTACAGAGTAGACATCCTTGGAGTCTTAACCATTTTCACACCCATACTGATTCAGGGAGGGGAAGATGGTGAGTGTCCACATCATGGGTATCCATTTGAGTCCATCCATGGTCCTGTTCCTTCAGCAGAAACCTTCTCTCACAAGTTGATCAGGATCAAGCCTAGAGGTCAGTCTAGGGAAGAACAGCCTGAAGATGTCAGCAGCTGGTTCTTGTTAATTCACATCACCTGGTGAGATCTGTGGAGCCTGCTAGTGACAGCAGTAGACACCAATAAACTTGTTGACTGGGTAAAATCTGCCCTCCTTGTCTAAGTTCTGTACCCTCACTGAGATGAGTGACCCAGGAGTAAAAAGCTGAGGGTAGGGCTTGTGGCCTTCAGAGTTCTCCTTAACCTTCATCAAGCCAAGCTTCCTCTGCCTCCTGGCCTTCCTTAATTTCACTTTTTCTTAACAGGAATGTACGTGTGGCTGATGTTCTGTTCTTCTGGGCTTGCCCAAAGGGAACAGTTGAACATATGAGTTCAGTCATGTGCTGTAGCTCTGTGTGAGATTAGACTGATAAGGTTCTTGCTGTGCCATGATGCAAAGTGCCTTTAGCTGCTTCAGACAGGACTTGAGGGCTTACAGAGCCGGGAAAGCTGCAGGCCGTGGGCTGATGCTGGCTTGAGGGGTGGGGGGCGCTGGGGCAGTGAGGAGCAGCTTTGCTTTGTGTACAGCAGAAGATACGGAGGGTGTGATGACCTCATCTCTGATTGCTCTGACAGGTTTGTGGGGGAGATAAGCCTTACATCGCTCCATCGGACCTTGAGCGGAAGCACCAGGATTTCAGAGAGTCGGCTGTCAGGCAGTTCCGTTCGGTGAAGAAGATGGGAGGGGAAGAGTTCTGTCGGCGCTACCAGGAACAGCTCGAAGTGGAAATCGACGAGATCTATGCAAACTTTGTGAAGCACAACGATGGCAAAAACATCTTTTATGCTGCTCGTACCCCTGCCACTCTATTTGCAGTCATGTTTGCCATGTATATAACCTCAGGACTGACTGGGTTCCTTGGTATGAACTCCATAGCTGTCGTGTGTAATCTCGTGCTGGGGATGGCTCTTATATCGTTTTGTACTTGGGCATACGTTAAGTACTCTGGGGAATTCAGAGAAGTTGGAACAGCCATCGATCAGATCGCTGAAGCTATATGGGAACAGGTTGGTATCTGGTTTTTAACCCAAAATCTTTCTTTCTTGAGTGGATGTATCAAACAGTTTCTGTTTAGTGCTGTGAGTGAAAAGTTGGTCTGGGCCTAATGGGGAATGCTAGTGCTGCTAAAGGGAAAATCAGCTCAGGAGTGTGACTGTGCTCTTCAGTAAGAGATGCTGCCCACAAAGAATGACAGGGAACTACTTGAGAGAGTCCAGCACAGAGCCACCAAGATGATGAAGGGAGTGGAGCATCTCCCTGCTGAGGAAAGGCTGAGGGAGCTGGGGCTCTTTAGCTTGGAGAAGAGGAGACTGAGGGGAGACCTCATTAATGTTTATAAATATGTAAAGGGCGAATGTCAGGAGGATGGAGCCAGGCTCTGCTCAGTGATGCCCAATGGTAGGACAAGGGGCAGTGGGTGTGAGCTGGAACACAGGAGGTTCTGCTTCAACTTGAGAAGAAACTTCTTTCCAGTGAGGGTGACAGAGCCCTGGGACAGGCTGCCCAGGGAGGGTGTGGAGTCTCCTTCTCTGGAGACATTCAAGACCCACCTGGACGCCTTCCTGTGTGATCTCATTGAGGTTCCTGCTCTGGCAGGGGGGTTGGACTGGATGATCTTTTGAGGTCCCTTCCAATCCCCAACATTCTGTGATTCTGTGAATGTTCAACAAGCTTAGGATATTATCAGAAAGCGTTAGTTAAAGGCCTTACTAGGTGCTTGGGTGGTAAAGAGTGGAGGGACTCTTTAAATATCTTGTTACTTTCACAGAGCAAGGAATTTGCTTTTAAAGGTACGTTTAAACATACACTCTGGATGCAGTGGATAAAATATCTCGGGTGGTGCAAGAATTAGGGAGGGTGAAACACTGCTACCCTCCCTGACCTCACCTGATGGTGTGATGCTGGAGGGCTGCTTAGACCTCAGAGAGAACTGGCTGATGACTTGCAACAACCAGATTGACTTGCAGCAACTGCTACAGGGGGATGCACAGCAGGTTTCTTCCTTCAGGAAGACGTGTGTTGTCTCTGACAACTTGGTTGATGCGACTGCTGTTGCAGGAAATGCTCGCTAGACAGACTAATGCCTGAAAGAAGAGATGATACAAGTGTAAGAGTACCAAAGCTGGAGGAGAAAATCTTCTGTACAGAGATTTTGTTGCCTGAATCTGGTTGACACAGCTGTGTCAGTAAAGCCAACGTACAGAATTCCTGACCAACTCTTAGTAGTAGTGTTTGGAGCATTCTCTGAGTAGCTTTGCCCAGTGTCAGCAGAAGGGAAACGCTTTGGTGCTGTTGTTAATAGAAATAAAGGGCTCACTGAACTTTCCTGGGATGATTCCCAGAAGAGGTTGCCCAGAGAAGCTGTGGCTGCTTCTCCCTGGAAGTGTTTGTGGCCAGGCTGGATGAGGCTTTGAGCAACCTGGTCTAGTGGAAGGTGTCCCTGCTGATGGCAGGGGGGTTGGAACTGGATGAGCTTTAAGGTCCCTTCCAACCCAAACCAATCTATGGTTCTATGATATCAAAATGGGTCTTACAAGGCACAAGCAAATAACTGACTGGAGCCTTCTAAACAGTGGCTTTCTTCTACCTCTGAAAGATGACAGAGGCAGTGGTACCCTTAGACCTGAGCATCCAGGTCAAGTTGTGAGTAACACTGGAGTGGAAAAAGTGCATTTCTAATAGTAGGAGGGAAATGAGCATCAAGGTAGTATATTTTGAGTTATACCCCTAACTAGTGGTTAAAATTAAGGTTCTCCTGTACCACTGTAGCGTCTTGTTTTGGAGCTTGGGGATGAAGAGCACCACAAGAAAAGTGGAAGGCGTCAGTTCTACGTGTAGCACTGAGTGAGTGTGGCTGCTGCTGTAGGATACCTAGAACACATAAGGCTTGATTTGACTGCCTACCTTCCCTGGAAGGGGGAGAACTTGGCTTCTCCTAGCAGGAGCTTGCCTTTTGTGAGTGAGAGGAAAGTGGTCTCCAAAAGAGCTTGTTGGTGGTGCTGCTATGATTGCACATTGCCAATAATATGCAAAGCAGGTGCTGTCTGAATCACTCTGATGATATTCCCTGTTCTTGCTGTCTTGATTTTTCTGAATCTCTGCCTTTCTTTTCCCTCCATGCTTCAGAGGAATCCCAGGAAGGTGAGAAGTTACTGGCAATCAGTTTATTTTTTTATTTTATTTTATTTTATTTTATTTTTAACTTGATTGACTTTTTCTGATGCCTTCCAAAGAGCCACTTTTCCTAACAGCTGAATTCGTGTTTTAGGTGTTTTCCAAACTCTTTGAAGTCCTTAGACGTCGAACGATTCGCCGTGCTCTTACGTCAGCGCCGCGACAGCGACTCTCATCCAACAATAACAAGAAGAAAAATTAGCCAGTATTTTTAACTTACTTTCTCTATCGAAGGGTTCACACTTACACATATAGGACAATAAGCTGGACCGTCTGGGCCGGTCTGCATAAATGCTGTAACCATACCAGACTGATGCTGCATAGAGGGTATGGAATTGCACATCCATCTTCTAGGAACTGTAAAGTGGTTTGAATTCAGTGAAGTACTGCTGTGTAGGAGGGCTGTCACTCATGTTCATAGCATGGGACTGATTTAACCTCATTCCTGTAGCAGCAAAACTCATTTCTCTTTCAGTTCATGCCAGTTTGTGTCAGACTTCAGCATCCTAATTTTTTTTTTTCATTATTTCAACTCTCATCTCTTTGTATGTCTTTTTTTTTATTATTATTTTCCTTGGTTACCTCATTTTTTTGTTTTCTTTTGCACGTTTCTCATTCCACAGGTGTTGAAGCCCATGAGTGATAATTTGATGGAGGATCATATGAGGCAGTCTGTAAAAAACTCTATCAAAGCAGGCCTGACCGAGCAGGTGTCTCACCATGCCAGACTAAAGACAGACTGACAGTTCATCTCCTCTTCAACTCTGCCCTCTCATCCTAGACATGCTTGCTGTACCATGAGAAATCAGTAATAAAAAAAAAAAATTATATATA